AGTCCCCGTCCAGGAAACTCCCTATGCTCCTCCGACTCCACAGCTTGCTGGACCTGGCTCACAATTTGGCCAAGGTGGTCAGGGGGCAGGGTACGGCCAATCTTTCATGCCGGAAGTCCCACAAGAGGTGATGGAGGAAGTGGTATCAGAAGAGTCGCCATACGCGCGCCGAAAAGGCCGACGCCGTTCCTAGAGAAAGAGAGCTGCTGACCTATAATTGTTTCGTTGTGCTTTGTGCGAGTATCGAATGAATTTGTCTCCTGAAAATTCAACTTTGGATAGTTTTGTATGTTTTTAAGCGAATGTAACGAACATGCCTTAAGATTACTGCGATTCACGAACATTGTATGTATACATCGCATACTAGGCTATTGTATTCCTTGAATACTAAACTTTCGAACTGTTTTTTCTACTTTTTCTACTGGTACCTAATATACTGTAAAATACAGACGAGCAAATGTAAAAAGTTTTTTTTCTGAAAGCTCTTTCGTCGCAATATATTGCATTGTTGTAAACCATGACAGTTTTCGTTATACTTCTGCCGAACTAGGCTCTTAGACGGAACTCTTTAGTTGATCTATACCTGACGTTTCGACTAAAATATAGGTCTAGAATCAGAACGGTCGTGCACAGGGGAAATCTCAGTGGGGAGGGGAGGTCGTACAGAGTGACTGAATGGACAGAGTGTATTTAGCCCGAGAAAATTTTTTGAAAGTTGATTCTTCCGTTTTCCGGTTTCACATATTGTTGTTGCTGGAATTTCCCTTCCCCTCCCAGTGGCAGGGAATTGGCCCTATGAGTCATGCAAATTCTGCGGTGTGGTAGCGTTTAACGAACCTGCACCCTGCTGAATTCCTGGACAAGTGGACTCGGAATAGTCCGCCTCAGTGGTGGGGGGGGGAATGCGGGGTAGATTTCTGTGAGCTCAGTTATCCGGCAAAGATACTGCACAAAAATAAGCAAGATGTGTTTCACCAGAAACTGATATCAATTTTCAAAGGGTATGCGGAGCGGGTTAGTGCAGTAAGGCTTTTTTATCACGGCTGTAATCCCTATCGCCTAGAGATCCATGGAAGTGTACATGGGAGAACCCGCTCGCAAAATTATTTCTCATGATTACATAGTATAAGAAAAAGGAAATAGTATAGGAAATAAGCAAAATAATCCAGGAAAGGTAGGGGTACAGTGCGAACACCTGCATCTCAAG